TTTGCATTTGTTCTGTAATGCATCTGCTGGTGGTGAGTATTACTGGTGGAGTACATCTAGCATGCCCGATTTAGCTGGATAAGACAGGTTAGCCCAGTGTTGCTTTTCGTTCTATTTTAAAGTCAGTTTCAGACTGTAACGTTTAGTGCTGAAGTTGTTTGATCTATTTCTGAATTAAAATCTGCATGACATTTATGACTCATTCTATGATTTATTTTGCAGGTATATTTATCAGCTGGTGAGCACCCAGAAACTTTCCACTGGCTTCCCTACAAAGAACCAGATAGCAATAATAATTATTAATAGCTGTAAAGTATGCAAAGATTTTTTTATATTAACTGATCAAACACTAAGATATATTAAGATAGCAATTGTCTTTAAGTTCCCTCCGAAGTATAAGAAAAATTGCCAGAAATCTAATACAGTTCCAAGGTTCCTAAGTGCATTTATGCTGTAAAATGAATGCAGATTGATGCCACATTAAATGTCATAGCTCAATGCTGTGGAGTTCTGGGAGTTATAGTTTGGTGAGACATCAGTAAAAAAAGAAAAAGTGAAAGACTTTGTACAACTACAACTTCCAGGATTCCATAGCATTGACCGCTGGCAGTTAAAGTGGGATCAAACGGCATTAATTCCATAACTCACTTGAATACTAACACATCCCAAGTGTTACAACAAGACCAAAATGCAGATGTGGGACTCCATTGCCACAATTTCATATCTTGTTGTAGACAAAAGCTAATAATCCCTTAAAGCCCTGCACCACTTGCAAAAATCCTAAATCTGCCAATCATTTTAATCCTGTTCACAAGGAGGAAGAATTTTCATCATGAGTTCACTGAGCCTTCCCCAAATACATAATTGGTTCCCAAATAGTTATCTTTTAATTACAACAATAGAATCAGCTTATACAGCTTCTCTTGACACATAACCAGACAGTCAGAATTCTTCACATGTCTGTTGCTTGAGTTCATTGCAGAGGCAAATAGATCATTCACAGAAACTCTTCTTCCTCCTCTACCTTTGCTTTGCTTCTGCTTGCCTCATCCTTTTTGCTCTTTCAAGCCTCTCTCTCCCTGACCATCTTAGAAAGACAAGCTCCTGGTTTGTTGTTTCTTAAAATCTTTTGCTACAACTGCAGTCTAGCCTTGGAACAGTAGTAATTACAGAAGGTTTATTATGGAAGTGTTCCAGTGGATAGATTAAGAAAATGTTGCAGAATAAATGGGAAAGAATTTCAGGATTTCCTACAAAACTGGATTTGGAGATGTTTTTGCCTAGGGAGAGTAAGGGCCATTTGCCACTACAGTTAGGATTGAAGAGTTAAAAATAACTGGCCACTTGTAATTAATTACTCTATGTTCAGTAACAAAGATAAAATTGCATTATACTAGGATTATAACTTCATGATGGATATCTTCATTCCAGAGTTTGTTGTATAACACTAACTTTTCACATATGACCTCACTAAATGATATAGAAATATCACATGCTTGTTCTATGCCTCTTATGGTATATCTACATCAGGCATGGGCAAACTAAGGCCCAGGGGCTTGATGCCCCCCCCCGGGGGGGTGCTTACTAGGCTTGGTTGATCCATACAAAAAAGTGGTTCAAAACTCATTTTGGATGTTGGGGGTGCTGGTGGTTCAATTCTAAAGTCACTTTCAAATTTTTCCAAATTTATTTTCGAAACTATCCAAAACTTCTGAAACTTCTGAATCCATTTGTTAATGCGGACACACATGCACAGGAGGAAAAAAAAACAGCACTGGCACTGAGGAAACTACAGGGGATTCTCCCTCCCTCATTTTTAGACCACTCCTGACGAAACTTGCTACAGTGGTAGAACACATGGACCACTGTTAGCTTATCAAATTTCATAACCTTTGACTTCTCCATGGATTTTGGGCGAATTTTCAAATTTTTTATAAAAAACATTTTTAATAATAAAGAAAATCTGTTCCTGGTTTGAAAGTGTTATTTCCTGTTTTATTGGGTGATCTTTACTTTGAAAGTGGTTGTTCCACTCCAGAAACTTTTTTTTGTGTGGCACAAACTGTGTTAAGTTAGTGGAGAACAGAAATCATAGTACAGACCCCATCAAGGGACATCTAGACTGACCCCCTTCTTCTGGGCAGAAAGGCACCATCCAAATTCTCCTGACATCCATTTGTTTCCTCTACTGAGTTGGAAGACACATCCATCCGTTTATTCCTTTTTGCAGATGCAATCAATCATTTTATTTTATCATTACTTACTGATTGTAAAGGGCTGTCTGGCTGTTAAAGATGGCTGTGATTAGCCATGCCCACCTCATGCCTCCTTGCATCGTCGGCGAAAAGCATGAGATTTTAAAAGTTTTTAGGCTTTACCAAAATTGCTTAATGGTTGGGAAAATTAAAATAACCTTGGGAGACATCCCAACATGATATAATATTTCTGGGGGAAAAGATAAGTGGTTCAAATTTGGATCCCCCCCCCCCCCCCCCCCCCAACTTTTCCTGCATGGCTCAAAACTGCATCGGAGGTCCAAATTTGTATGTTTTCTTCTGACTTTTAGGCTTTTCCGAACAAATCTATCCAACCCTAGTGCTTACTTCAGGCCCTCCTCATTTTTCCTGTCTTCTTGGCAGAAGGATACAGCAAACCGTCATGTCCTTATGGTAAAAAGATGGGAGAGGAAGGCACGTAGCAGCTGAGAACCCTTTGGAGTGCTCTCAGCTGCCTCATGTCTCACCCTCCCAGCATTAGGATGATGTGAACGGCCCCATACTTATGCCAGGAGGATGGCTCGTGGATGGCACACAGTGGCTGAAAGCCCCCCAGAACACTTGCCCTTCTCCTGGCATAATGCCAAGAGGACAGCCCAAGGATTGAGGGAAGAGGATCAGCGCAGTCACCATGTGTGCCGCGTCCCCCTCCCCCCCCAGTATAAGGATGGAGCAAGTAGCCCCATCCTTATGCTGGGAGCACAAACTGAGGATGGCCCGGGCCCTGCCCTGCCAACTCCTGGCCCAGCCCTCTCCTGGACCCTCCCCACCCAGTGTATGTCTGCCCCTCCTCCTGGCCTACAATGCAGCCCCAAGGCAAGAAAGTTTGCCCATGTCTGATCTACACTGTAGAATTACTGGCTCAATGCTGTGGAACCATGAAAGCTATAGTTTTACAAGATCAATAATAATAATAATAACAACAACAACAACAACAAAAACAACAAAAATACCTTTTATTTCTTACCCACCTCTCCTCATAGCTTGATATGGGGCATAACACAGTTAAGCACATCACCATAAAATACATACAATAAATATAATATACATACAATATATTAAGATACTTTACCTGCCAAAGAATATCAGGATACTCAGCCCATAGTGTATGTTTTAATTGGATATCGAATATCAATAATAACCATTGTTCCTGATTGCCTGGGGACACCATTCAATTTTTTTTATTAATATAATGAATAGTAGATACGAATTATTGAAGGCTTTCATGGCTGGAATCACTAAGTTGTTGTGAATTTTCTGGGCTGTATGGCCATGTTCCAGAGGAATTCTCTCCTAACGTTTCACTCACATCTACGGCAGGCAACCTCACAACCGTATTCACTGTTAGCCATATAGGTAGTGTGGTAAGTTTGGTGCAGATCCATTGTGGGTTGGGTTCAGAGTACTCTTTGATTGTAGGTGACTATAAATCCCAGCAACTACAACTCTCAAATGACAAAATCAATCTTCTTCCAATCCCCAAAACACTTAAAACAATACAAAAATTAAAATGATGAACAATTTTATTAGTATTTCAGTGGGAAGTGTGGGCCTACTTTTGGCTGATAAGATTGTTGTTGTTGTTGTGTGCTTTCAAGTCGTTTCAGACTTAGGTTGACCCTGAGTGAGGGCCCGGTAAATGACCTTGGAGGGCCGTATTCGGCCCTCGGCCCTTAGTTTGAGGACCCCTATCCTAGATGGTTCATAGGAGGAGAAACGTTCGGACAGGTAATACATTGTAATACATCCTGCATCTCAGATATTTACATTACAATTCATAACAGTAGCAACATTGGGTTGTTGTAGGTTTTTCCAGGCTATATGGCCATGTTCTGGAGGCAATTTTTCTCCTGACGTTTCGCCTGCATCTATGGCAAGCATCCTCAGAGGTAGTGAGGTCTGTTGGAAGTAGGAAAAGTGGGTTTATATATCTGTGGAATGACCAGGGTGAGACAAAGGACTTTTGTCTGCTGGGGCTAGCTGTGAATGTTTCAGCTGATCACCTTGATTAGCATTCAATGGCTTGGAAGTGCCTGGGGGAATCTTTTGTTGAGAGTGATTTTATGTGCCTGTTTGTTTCCCCTCTGTTGTTTTGCTGTTGTAATTTTTGAGTTTTTTAATACTGGTAGCCAGATTTTGTTCATTTTCATGGTTTCCTCCTTTCTGTTGAAATTGTCCACATGCTTGTGTATTTCAATGGCTTCTCTGTGTAGTCTGACATGGTGGTTGTGAGAGTGGTCCAGCACTTCTGTGTTCTCAAATAATATGCTGTGTCCAGGTTGGTTCATCAGGTGCAGTAGTAGCAGCAACATTACAGTTCTGAAGTAGCAACGAAAATAATTTTAGGTTTGGGGGTCACCACCACATGAGGAACTGTATTAAGGGGTCGTGACATTAGGAAGGTGGAGAAACACGGCTTTATAGTATAGCCACCTTTTGAAAGTTTTTTTTAAAAACATCAGCTGGGGAACTCAGTAATGCAACCCCTTAACACACAAGGGTTGCTTGCATTCGATCAGGGAGGCATCAATAAAAGATGACTCTCTTTCTTCCTCCCTTCCCTCCCCAACTTTTCCTGCGATTGCAGAGAGAGCAGGAAGCGATTCCTGGGAACCCCTCCTCCTTTCCATTGATTGCCCGGGTCCCTTGGAAAATCATTAAAAAAAGAAGAAGCCTGGGCCGGCTTTTCCCACCCTCCCCCGACTTTCTCTCCTCCTCCTCCTCCTCCTCCTGCTTCCCTTCTTTGCTCGCCCTCTCCCTCCCCTTTTGCTGCCTTGTGACTCGCAGATTGGGAGAGTGTGGGCTCCCTTTGGCAAGAGGCAGCCGGATCAGGAGCAGCAGCAGCAGCAGCACCCGCCTCTGCTCGGGCTCTTGCTGCAGTAGCCATGGCTGCGGATGGGGTGGATGAACGCTCCCCGCTGCTGTCAGCCCCCAATTCAGGCAATGTGACGCCCACCGCCCCCCCGTATTTCCCAGACAGCAGCCCCAGAGGTAAGCGCCAAGCTCTCCTTCTCTCTTGCTATCTCTCCCATCCGCCTCTCCTCCAAGGTCGCCGGCTTTCCTTTCTCTTGGCGCAATACGCATCCAACTCTCAACTCCCTCCTGAGCCTGGGAAAGGGGAGGAAAAGAAATGCCGTGCCTCTTGATGCCTATGCCTCACATTGATCCTTCCTTTCCTAGGCATTCCTGGCCATTGCAGGGCTTTTCCCAGGAAGGAAGGGGGCGGAGATGGGTTGGCAATGCCTGGGTCTCTCCATCTCTGCTTCTCTCCTTCCCTTTCCAAGCATCAGCCATTTCAATGCGTCTAGCTGACTTCAAGCAAGCTGTGAGGGTGCTGTCTTGGACCTACTCCTGCTCTGAGTGGGTTCTGGTTGGAGAGATTGGGAGCCACTGGCCACACACGTGGGCTCCTGTGTCCTTGAGGGTCCACAGCCTTTCAGTCTGCATTGCTCTGCCTCCATCTTCCAATGGTGCTGAATCTAGGGACTCTTTTGGGTATGATGGGAGGCCACAGGTAGAGCCTTAGGCATCAGGTTTTGGAGAGTGTGGGGTGCTTTGCTGTCAATGTATATATCTCCTCTCCTCTATCCCTCATGTCAGAACCCACCCACACTTCATCTTGTGGTTAGAAGGATAGGAAAAAAGGGCTTGCTTTTGCTCCTCCAAGTCAGAAGAAAGAGAGCTCAGGCAGTTGAATGGATGGATAAAGGCCGCATCTACATCAGTGTTTCTCAACCTGGGGGTCAGGACCCCTGGGGGGTCATGAGGGGGTCATCAAAAACATTGGAAAACATCGTATTTTCTGTTGATCATGGGGGGTTTTGTGGGAAGTTTGGCCCAATTCTAACTTCTGCAAGAATAGGACATACCCTCTGAGACAGTGTTTCTCAACCCCTGGAGGGGTCATGAGGAGGTGTCAGAGGGGTTGCCAAAGACCATAAGAAAACACAGTACTTTCGGTTGGTCATGGGGGAAGCTTGGCCCAATTCTATTGTTGGTGGGGTTCACAATTCTTTTTTATTGTAGGTGGACTATACATCCCAGCAACTACAACTCCCAAATGTCAAAGTCTATTTTCCCCAAACCCTACCAGTGTTCACATTTGGGCAATATTGAGTATTCGCGCCAAGTTTGGTCCTAATCCGTCATTGTTTGAATCCACAGTGCTCACTGGATATAGGTGAACTACAACTCCAAAACTCAAGGTCAATGCCCACCAAACCCTTCCAGTATTTTCTGTTGGTCATGGGAGTTCTGTGTGCCAGTTTTGGTTCAATTCCATTGTTGGTGGAGTTCAGAATGTTCTTTGATTGTAGGTTAACTATAAATCCCAGCAACTACAATTCCCAAATGGCAAAATTAACCCCCACCCCCACCCCAGCAGTATTCAAATTTGCACCTATCAGGTATTCGTGCCAAATTTGGTCCAGTGAATGAAAACACATTCTCCATATCAGATTTTTACATTATGATTCATAACAGCAGCAAAATTACAGTTATGAAGTAGCATCGAAAATAATTTTATTTAACTATAAATCCCAGCAACTACAACTCCCAGATGGCAAAGTTAACCCCCACCCCAACCCCAGCAGTATTCAAATTTGGGCCTATTGGGTATTCGTGCCAAATTTTGGTCCAGTGAATGAAAATACAACCTGCATATCAGATATGTACATTCCAATTCGTAACAGCAGCAAAATTACAGTTATGAAGTGGCAACAAAAATAATTTTATGAATGGGGGTCACCACAACCTGAGGAACTGCATTAAGGGGTTGAGGCATTAGGAAGGTTGTGAACCACTGATCTGTACTGTAGAATGAATGCAGTTTGAGAACACTTTAGTTGCCATGGCCCAGAGCGTTGAGATGCTGGGAATTGTAGTTTGGTGAGGCATCAGCACTCTTTGGCAGACTAGGCTCAAGACCTTGCCAAACTACAACTCTAATCAGTTTATCAATAGGAAAAGCACATAGACTAGGCATGGACAAACTTCGGCCTCCAGGTGTTTTGGACTTCAACTCCCAAAATTCCTAACTGCTGGTAGGCTGTTAGGAATTGTGGGAGTTGAAGTCCAAAACACCTGGAGAACCGAAGTTTGCCCATGCCTGGCATAGACTGACAAAGGATGCATCTAATGCAGCTTGACACCATTTTAACTGCCTTGTCCCAAAACTATGGAATCATGGGAGTTATAGTTTTACAAGGTCTTTAGCCTTCTCTATCAAAGAGTACTAGTGCCTCGCCAAACTACAAATGCCAGTATTCCAAAACATTGATCCATGGCAGTGTGGTGGCACGCTGCATAAATTTGACAATCTTGATGCACCCAGAGAAGGAACAACGTTTAAAAAGGCACCCAAGGTTATAGCTTGAGTTTAATTTTTTGGACCATGGGTAAGTGAAACTGTGGATACTGAATCTGTGGATAGCTGATTCATATTGTAGCTGGAAACCCAAGCCTCCCTGATTACAATACGGTTATTTCCTCAGACCTGGAAGTGCCAAGTAGAAGCACAGTGGCCGACAGGACCTCACCACTGAGAGAAGAGCACTCTGCATATGCTTATGAAGCTAATTTTAATCCCTTTATTCATGTTAGATTTTTTTTTTTTTGCAGCAGCAGCAGCAGCTGAAAGGTCAGAGCCCTGTTGCACTTCAATGACTAATAAATTTGATTATTTCCTAAGCTTTGGGGAAGTAGACCATAATTCAAAGAAAATATTTACTATAATACTTCAGTCAGTTGGCAGATGCCACAGAAATCTATAACAGGGAGCCTCAAACTTAAGCCAAGGGCCAGTTTATGGTCCCTCAGATTATTGGGGCCATATTATAGCTTGGAAAGTGAACAAATTCTTGTGCACACTGTCCATGTCTTATTTGTAGTGCAAAAAATAATGATGAAAGAACAATACAATATTTAAAATAAAGAACAATTTTAACAAACATTGACTTACCAGTAGTGTGGGTCTGATTTTGACACGTGTGATAGTCAAGTTAATTAGGATTGTTTTTGTGTGCCTTCAAGCCATTTCAGACTTAGAGCGACCCCAAGTCTGACGTTTAGGGCGGGGGCTGGATAAATTATCTTGGAGGGCCCACAGGCCTTAGCTTGGGGACCTTTGATCCACACTGTAGATTTAACCATGGGAGTTGCAGTATTACAACAACTTTAGCCTTCTCCACGAAAGCATGCTGGTGCCTTAGTAAAGATAAAGGTAAACATTTCCCCCAACATTAGTTCTAGTTGTGTCCGATTCTGGGGGGTGGTGCTTATCCCCATTTCTAAGCCAAAGAGCTGGCGTTGTCCATAGACACTTCCAAGATCATGTGGCTGGCATGACTGCATGGAGTGCCATTACCTTCATGCCTGAGCGGTATCTATTGATCTACTCACATTTCCATGTTTTTGAACTGCTAGATTGGCAGAAGCTGCGTCTAACAGCAGGAGCTCACCTCGCTCCCTGAATTCGAGCCACCAATCTTTCGGTCAGCAAGTTCAGCAGCTCAGTGGTTTAATCCACTACATCACTGGGGGGCTGGTGCCTCACTAAACAACAAAATCCCAGGATTCCATGGGACTGAGCCATGGCAGTTAAATTGGTGTCAAACTGCATGAATTCTACAGTATAGACACACCCTTTGTCATATTATTGATGTTTCTTATGTTTCACTGCACATGAAAAGAGTTCGATACACCTGAAACATAGCCCTTGCTTTGTCTTGTTTTGTTTGTACATGCATAAGTGATCAGGAAATTGAGGTGTAAAAAGAAGGTTGGTCTTAAGTCTCAGTTGCTCAAATTTACAACATGACAGCTAATTGCATCCCGGAATATCGTGCAGTTTTCAAACAATATGGAAGACTTATGGTTTACAGCAAAATCCTATGTATTGTTATTCAAAATGAAGTTCTTCTTTTGTCCATAGAGTTAATTCCAGATTGGGAGTATGCATTCTCCTATATATCTATTTAGAGTTGTTTGATTTCATCTCCTACCAGTTCTCACATTGCTGGTAGGAAAGGCCAATGACCAACTCCAATATACTGTCAGCCTGTCAAATTTGCCGGGTTGTTAGGGACACAGGATTGGTACTATCAAGGTGGATGGAAGCAACTTAAAGCAAAATTATTTTTTATCCCAAAATAACAAATCTCTATGAATCTCTTGGGTCTTCCATTTGGCAGAAGTTGATTGCAATATTGCATTGGACTTCTAGAGAGGTGTCCTCTTTAGGAATCTTTGGGTCCTTCAACACAATTCTATAGTCAACATATAGTGAAAGTTGGCATGGAGTGACACTGGAAGACCTAGAGATACCTAGAAAAGCCATATTGTTCAAAATTTGCAAATAATCGAATTTGCAAAAGTTCAACCTGCAAATATAGAGTGCCAACAGTAGTGTATTGGGATTGCTTGGGCTAACACCTGGTAGTTCTAGACCCCTGATTCTGTCTAATACTGTACTTTTTACTGGTCTCTATTAACAACAGGTAGTTCTTGAAAGCAAGCAAGAAGGATCATGTTGCTCTTTAAACTATATCTAGATTCATGTCTGGACAATGTTGCACGTGTGTTTTGAAGCTGTAAGGCAAACTTGAAACAATCCAGCAATTTTTTTTGAACAAACACATGAGCTCTTGGATAGGGATTATTTTGTTTTTATTAGAGGCAGGGTTAAGTGAAACTATGGAAAGGTATTTCCAGTTATTGTGATAAGTATGGTGAATTGTTTGATTTCAAGTTAAATAGTTATGTTATGTTCTTGATTTAAATGGATACCTGCTCTGTCATTTGGACAGTGAGATATAGGAAATGGTTAATCTCATGGTTAAAGTTTTTTGATTTATGACTATGGTTGCAACCCTAAACATACCGTAAGAACCCAATATTTGTGGAACCACTACCTGCAGTTTCACTAGGAGCCATGGTTTCACATATCCACGTGAAGTCCTGGAATGTATCATCTGTGACTATAGGGGTTGTAA